GGTTGGCAATCGGTTGAATGAAATATTTCGGTTCGGTTAACCGATTAAGGAAATTTTTCTCGGCTCAAATCACTATTCTCAACCACCTCTCTCAATGAATTCAATTAAGAATCTAATTGGCCAGTTTGATTATATAAACAATCAGATTCTTGTTGAGTCCATTAAGGGAAGTGCTTGAGAGCGCCGTTAGAGTCATCAGCCGACACCGAGGAAAGATGAGTCGTAGAGAAGCTTCTACATGATTGGTCAATAAAATTTTATTACTATGTTTATGTTTTAAATAATAATTCTCAATTATCATAACAGATAGTTTTTACTAGAGACGCGTTATAACCATTAGTACATATAACTAAATATCGCTTGTACTGTACATATTATGCATAGATATGATACTTCATCAAAACCACAGTTACACTTGCCCACCCAGCGATTTGCCTCAATGGATATTCCTGTGGTTTGCACCCGAGTATTTTACGTGGAGATAAAAAAAAATTTTTTAAATTAGAGTGATGCGACATTTTGAAAGTTTTCAATTATTATAACAAATCAACAATAAGATTGAAACTACAATTTAATTATTTTTTTATTGCTGTTTAGCCTTGGAAAGTTTAATACTCTGTTCAAAGTAATTATTTGGATGTGCGATTGTTTCAATTAAATGCCTATCACCATTATCTCTACTACTCGATTCATCCAAATATTTTGTAATTTCAAAATATTTAGTACAAGCGATTTGATAATGTTTGCCTCTGACAAGTTCAAGAATTTCTCTCAAATATTCGTCCTTTCTTACACCAGTTTGAGCCAAAAGAACTTTCAAGTTGTCTTCAGAAAAATGTTTAAATGGACATCCATGTTGATCTCCAGGACCTGGTTGTTTATTCATGATTATTGACATACAGCTAAATTTCAAAAAAGGTTAAATAAATTATTCAAATCGAATAATCGAATAAGAAAAAGGGTAACTTAATCATATCTACCTCAATGGCGTATAATCATGACGTTTCCCCTCCATTCCGAAATTGTGCCTTATATTGTACGCATATTCTTTCTGAAATTTATCATCAGTAATGGTTGAGAATGATTTTCTCCAAAAAATAAGTGCCTCTTCAACAGTAAGGCCAATTCCCTAAATTAATTAATTCACAGATTAATCTTAACCACAGATTATTATAAAAAAGATAAATAGAAAAAAAAACCTTTAGGAATAAATTGTATTGTATTCTTGCAAAATGCCTAAGATGATGATTTTCACGAAGTTTCCGGTGCAAATGTTGCATGCACAATGGAAAATGCTCAACCAACTAATATGTAAACAAGACATGTTTAAGATTTTAAGATCATATAATTGAAATTAAATATATTAAATTATAAATTACCTGGTCAACATTATCAGCTGTTGCCTTATCAGTAAGGTTATTATTATTATTTAAATAAGTTTTACCAAAATATTGCTGATTTATATTGTTTAAAAGCGGTAAGATTCTTTCATCATCTATGCTTGGAAATGCTCTACTTGCTAACTATCATAGAAATTTAGAAGTTCTTAAAAAATCGATAAAAATTACAGATAAAACTGAATAACACCTACGTCCAGAGCGGCAGAAAGCTTTTTACGATACTCTCCTACAACAAGGGTAACTTGTTCAGATAACGGAACGTAAGCCTTCCCAGCTCTTATGTATACGGCACGCCGTGAGACAAGATCTGGAACTTGTTCGAAGTCCACCTGTCATTAATGAAGTGATTATACATGGCTAGTCATTTAATAAAAGATTTGTACAAAGTATGAAATATATTTTTACAATAAAAAATGTTTCTTGGTCGAGCCTGATGTGAGGACTTGCGTGTGATAATTCATTTTTCATTGATTCTTTTTCATCTTGAGTTATCTGCGTAGTTATTAATTAGTTATCCAGAGATGAACCTTAATTGAATAATTTATTATAAAAACAAATACACTTACATCTTTCCAATTTAGTTTCTCATTGTTCAAAAAGGCTTGTCTCTCCTCTTTGTATTCTTCAATAAACCGAATTCTGTAATAAAATAACAAGGGTCAGGAAGTACATTATCATTAGAGATGTTGGTGAAATTAATTTCATCAATAATGGTGAAATTATTTTAATCATAAATCCAGAATTACCTGAACAAGGCACATTCATACTTGATAAACCATTTACGCAGTTCTTCTCTTTAAAAAAATAAAGATAGTTTTGTATAAATTATAATTAGTTAGAAATTGGTTCCGTTTATTGAACTTACGTTCTGCAGTAAGCCAGTCTCAAAATAAAATGGGATATATGGTCTTTGCGTCGTTCTTGGTCTAATGGGTAGAGCTTGCTTCCATCGGTTGAATGCAATGGAAGATATTGATTTGACACGTCGCTTATATGTTCCGCGATCTGTCTTTCAGTTTTACTCCGTAAAACGGCACCTTCAATGGCTTTCAAGACTATAACAATAATTATTATCGAAGTACCGTTTTTACTTTACAAAAAATACTGATTAAATTACCTTGTAATCTATCTAAAGCGAATGTTTCAAATTCTTCGGTAGTAATTTCTTCTATAGGTGGAGTGTTATAAAAATTGAGTCGATACGGATATTTATGCTCATGATTTTTAACTTCTCCAGTTTCCGAAACTAACAGAGTTCTGCGAGAAATCATGTTTTGCTAAAAAGTTTTAAGTTTTAGAAATTTTTTTTTATTTGGACAAAAAGTGGTTTACTAGTCTAAATTTTGAGATAAACGCGGTTTTTGCAGGGAGAACGTTTGTTTTGAATTTTTTTTAGTTACACATGATCTAACGCGTATAAATTTAAAATTTTACTACGTATGGTCAGCAGTGTTGGAATTAGTGTTTCGCAAATGGATTCGAGATTCCCCGTTTTATTACTAAAATTCACCCAATTATACTCAAAATAACATGGGTTAGATGCTGAGAAAAGGGAATTGACAACTTTTTTAAAAACCTTTCTTGAGCATAATTAATCCAAAATTAGCTCAGGAACATTTTTTTACTTAAAGAACAAATACTGTTATCTTAATAAATTTGTATTTTCTCTTAATTTTCTCTTAATTTATCGTTACGTATCATTTTGATTTATTGCGGTTTGCAAAGTTTTGTAAATTTTGTAGACCAAGAAAAAAAAGAAATCACATTATTTTTAGGCGATTTCTAGGAGATTTCTGATTTTTTAAAACAACCCGATATCTAGGTATGAAATTGTTGTTTTAAGACATTTAGAAATCGCCCAAAAATCGCGCGATTTCTTTTTTTCTTGCAATAAATCAATTACCAACACCACCATAACTTGAAACCAATCGATTACAATCAATTAATTTTTTGATTATAATCTGGTTCCAAAATTTCTCGATAAAACCTTTCAAATTTTTAATTTAATTTCAGACTTACAATTAAACACGTATTATATAAATTTAGCTGCAAATTTGAGTACACCTATATACCCAATTCACAAAATTTATTTGTAAAATCACATATATTTCAAATTCTGGTTGCAAATTGCAAACTATTTATAATCCACAAGCTTCACTTCAGATACTAAAAAAACTTAACTGGGTTCAAACTATTTATTCTAAACTTGAGAATTGTTCAGTCTAGTCTAGAGGTGCAGGCGAATCGTCCCAATGATGCCGTAACTTTGCCGTAACATGCCGCAACTATATTAAATAATTATAAAACGTTAAATAATTATTTAATATAGTTGCGGCACGTTACGGCATCATTGGGACGATGTCGGTTCTTCGATCTTAAAAATAGTTGTTCAATCATCGCTTTTATGCTTTTTTTTTCAATTATTTGTATATCTTAAGGGATTTATGAGATGACTTTTAATCAGTTGAGATATTGATCAGAACCGGACCGGACCGGTTTAGGCCCAAAGACCGAGAAAACTTTTAGTCTCAACCTAATAACAGGTCTAGAGCTTCAGATTCGTATTCGTTATTCGAATAATATTCGTATTCGGCGAATATTCGAATATAATTATTTAAAAATTATTTGATAAATTATTCGAATAATTATAGTTATTCGAATGACGGAAATTATTCGTTATTCGGTTATTCGAATAATTTCAGTTATTCGAATAACTGCAATTATTCGAATATTTGAATTGTTTGACGAATATTATTCATTCGGCGAATATTCGAATAGAAGTTTGCTGATCTAAATTATTCGAATATTATTCGAATAAAGAATTAGTAAGCTCTAAACAGGTCCTATTTTCCTAGTCTTCCTAACGCTGTCTAGATATCGTTGTTACGTATTAAATCAGAATTATGCATAAAATAAATAAAGGAAAAATTTATTTCTCACCTGGGGCGAGTCTCCTTATAATTAAATTTGAAAAAATGCTAATATATCAAAGGGCACTAAAACAAATTTATTGGAATATTTCCTTAATCCTGTAGAAACTCCATGAATCTGTAACATAATATGATAGACCGAATAATCTCCGTTATTTGAAGGTATAAATTCCATAACTATGCAACATTTATGGATAAATCATGGAATATAAAACACGGTTTAACTTTTTTTTATAGGGAGCCCTAACTTAACAAATTTTTATAAACTAAAAACTTTAAAACAAATACAGTCAGACCTCTCTAAGTGCACTCTCTATAAGTGCACACTCTGACCCAAATATATACTTGACCTCTATAAATGCATTTTTTTTCTTATTATGGTTTGGTTAGGGAGTCTGGTAATTCACCCACAAAAATTTCCGGAACGTGATTTTTAGCCAATTAGATCGAAGGATCAGGTAATAAGCTTCATCTTTAGGGTTAAGAATGAGGCCGAGGGAGGACATAGCTTATACCAAAATTTCACAAGAAATTTTTTTTTTGTTAGAACGCAGAAGGCAGTTTTATAGACAAAATTTCGAGTTATTAGTGATTTTTTAAAAAGACGTGAGTTTCACGTTACACCTGATCCTTTTATCTAATTGGTTAAATACACGTGCCGGAAAATTTTTTGTGGGTGAGCTACAGGGGTTTAGGTTAGGTCGGGGGTGGCATTAGCAAAAATAGGGATGGCAATAGCAAAACCCTATCTCAAAATTTACTAATGTAACCCATCATTTATACAGAGAAAACTTCCTAAATGCACCCCGGGACCATAGTAAAAAAATTCAAAAATGTGCTCTTAAAGAGGGTGTGCATTTATAGAGGGCGTTCATTTATAGAGAGCAAATTATTACGTATAAGTTGTTCTCTCTGTATAGCATAACAAAAAAAATGCTTCTCTTGCAATTCTAACCCTGATCCTAATTTTACCTTAACATATTGATGTGGCCAGGGTTTCATTTTGTACTTTAGGGGGTGAGTAATTCACCCAGATGTCAAATAAATTATTTCATAAAATGGACTCGTATATATGTATGTTTCATTTTTTGTTAACGTAGCCGTATCTATGCTCACTAAATTTATTATTATAAACGCAAGTAATAAGCTGACTAATTTAATAAACATAGTACCCGCGATCTTGATACATATAGTGGCCAGGGTATAAAAATGCAAATGTCTTAAGTCGTCTGAAGTCGACAAATTTAATAAACAATAATGTATAAAAATGCAGGTTCTTAAGTCGTCTTAAGTCGAACAGGTGGAACCGTATAGATTAGATAGAAAGTTGGATGTAAGAGTTTCAATAAATAAATAGATTATATAACTGTTAAATATATTTTATTTACAATAATACAGTATTTAAGGCTTTTAAGATATTTATTTTGAATTTTACGTTTAAAATTTGATTTGATTCATTTTTTCGTTTCCGCAATTTGATTGGTTAATAAACATGTAATATTATAACATTTCTGTTCTTAAGTCGACTAATTTTTTTTAATAAAACAATATAATAAACAATAATGAATAAAAATGCAGGTGTCTTAAGTCGTCTTAAGTCAACTAATTTAATAAACAAAAATGTGGGTGTCTTAAGTCGACTAATTTAATAAACAAAAATGTGGGTGTCTTAAGTCGACTAATTTAATAAACAACATACATACGTACGTACGTACGTATAAAAATACAGATGTCTTAAGTCGCTTAGGTCTAACCAAGATTAGTGACACATTAATACGTACGTATAAGTTATATATCAGAGAAAATGATTTGCATTGTTATTGTAGTCTTAAGACAACTTAAGATATGCTATAGGTTCTTTTATCCAAAAATAGCAATTCTGTTTATTTTAGCCAACTGGAATTGCAGAAAAGTGGTACGAGGGCCTATTGGACTTAAGACATCTGTAATTTTAAAACATTTGCATTTTATGGTCGACTTAAGATAACTTGTTTATGTAGCATTGTACGAAATGATATAAACATACATCCTAACCTTAATTTAACTAAGATTCCGTTTCCATTTACAACATTTATGTTCCTTGGAAAGAAATGAATTTACAATCACTGTTTGGTTGGTGAGCTGCAATCTACAAAAGGTACAAGTTGTAGACCGTCAATTATTCTATTATCTTTCGGTATTATGCCAACCGCATAACTAAATTTGATCGGAGTTGTTTATTTTACGTATGAGAATGACATTTTCAGTGTTAAAAAACTCCGCATCTTTCATATAACATTATATCGAAGGTGGGCTTCAAACCACATAACAGTCTCGGAGCTGAATGCTTTTTAAATGATAGCTAAAGTTATATTAAATTAGCAAAATATTAAGGTTATATTATTTTAATAATAAGTTAGTCGCATAATAAGACTATTCTATAAAAAAAAAAAAAAAAAAACAAACAAAAAAAGGAACAAATTCCCAAATTATAGCTAATGCCAGTCAACCTGTCGGGATTTCTAGATTTGATTATGCTATCGAATTACTTTGTATAGAAAGTATAATCTTCTTTCAAAGCTAAGGAAATTATAAATAAAACGTACATTCACCTCCAAGATCGTACTTTGTGTGAGGCGTTGATTTGTGTGTATACTTAGATAACTGTCCAGAATAAGACGGTTGACTTAATGATTGAGCCATAGTTCAAATTTTGTACGTGTTTGTGTGCGTTTTATGTGGTTCAAAACCCACCTTCGATATAATTTTATTTGTGGATGTCCTCTAAGAGATATCGTGAGAATAGAATCCCTCTTATTGGTCTACATGCAGTATCAATCAACTCTTGCTAAACCAAACCTTGGGCCCGCAGAAATAGTCCTAAAATAATAACTAGCCCTAATTAAGTATAGATCTGCATCAAGATTTCACCATCATATTTGAACCAATCAGATTTATTTCTCGCGAGTAAGACAAACCCCAAAGAGGGGGACGTCTAAAGCCGTGTCCAGTCACGTGTTTTTAATTTTTAATTAAAGTTAGGGTAAGGGTTAGTTTGGGGTTAGGGTCAGGGCATGTCTTATAGCAAAATTGTCTTCCCGACATTTTTTATTAATGCACCAAGATGGGTTTAGACTATTGTTTCTTGTATTTTTTGCGATTT